TGAATGTTTCTAACTCCTATGTGGGGAAAATGAGGCTCAAAGGGGTGAAGGAACTTACTCCAGATCACACAGCTACCACACGGCTGAACTGATAATCTCGTTTGCCTTCTTCCAAAGCCAGGGCTTCTGCATGAACCCTCATGCCAAGACCTCTTAGCAAATCCAAGTATTTCTGGTAACACTTTTCATAGCAGATAATGGTTTGGAAGTAAGCAATGGAACACTTGCGGTGAAGAAAGAATAACAAACCCAAACAACTTGACATCTGACAGTTAAACAGCATTTTAAAATAAGCTTTTCAATACTTTTACAGGCCCTAGTATCAGTGGAAATCGCTGTAGTTTTTACACACTGCTTTCCTTCCTATTATGTAGAGGTCTGAAAATCTGCTTAGCGACAGAAAGTAGAGTGGTGGTTGCCAGGGACTTGGAGGAAGGAAGCAAAAGGGAACTACTGTTCAATAGGGACAGAGTTTTAGTTTCACAAGATGAAGAGCTGAGTAGATGGACAGCGGTGATGACTGAACATTATAACATACTCAATACCACTGAAATGTATACTGAAAATTGGGTAAAGTGGTACATTTTATGTTATGTGTATTTTACCACCATAAAAAATTTGGATAAAATATGCTGAGAAATTTAGACAGAGATGCCAGGCTTAAAGATTCAAAGGTAAGAATTCTAAACAATCAGGCTAGGTATGGTAGTTCTTTTCTTCTTCTTCTTCTTTTTTTTTTTAAGGTATGGTAGTTCATGCCTGTAATCCCAACACTTTGGGAGGCTGAGGCGGGAGGATCACTTGAGTCCAAGAGGTTCAAGACCAGCCTGGGCAACATAATGAAACCCATCTCCGTTTAAAGAAGAATTCCAAACTTTTTAACTGAATCCTGATAAAGAAAATTTGGGGCCGGGCGCGGTGGCTCACGCCTGTAATCCCAGCACTTTGGGAGGCCGAGGCGGGTGGATCACGAGGTCAAGAGATCGAGACCATCTTGGTCAACATGGTGAAACCCGTCTCTACTAAAAGCACAAAAGAAAATTAGCTGGGCGTGGTGGCACGTGCCTGTAATCCCAGCTACTCAGGAGGCTGAGGCAGGAGAATTGCCTGAACCCAGGAGGCGGAGGTTGAGGTGAGCCGAGATCGTGCCATTGCACTCCAGCCTGGGTAACAAGAGCGAAACTCCGTCTCCAAAAAAAAAAAAAAAAAAGAAAATTTGGGCTGGGCAGGGTGACTTACACCTGTAATCCTAACTTTGGGAAGGTGAGGGGGGAGGATCATGAGGTCAGGAGATCGAGATCATCCTGGCAAACACAGTGAAACCCTGTCTTTACAAAAAATACAAAAATTAGCTGGGCATGGTGGTGCATGCCTATAATCCCAGCTACTCAGGAGACTGAGGCAGGAGAATCGCTTGAACCTGGAACCCTGGATTCAAAAAAAAAACATTCCATCTCAAAAAAAAAGTAAATTTGGAGCTTTGCCAGTTTTTAGATGGCACCATTTCAGCCACCTCAATGCTTGCTACCTCCAATTTCTCATCTCAAGATCGGTGGTTTTCTGCTAAGCACTCACTGCCTTTGTTACAATTAGAAATCTAACAGTGTTACTCTGCAATTCACTGCCAATGTCAAATGAGAAACTGGAACCTCAGAAAGATCATTTAGCAAACTGCAAAACAAAGTCCATTCAAGATCTGATACAATCAACTCTTGATCATTTGGAATTTTGTTTTGATTTGCCTGCTGAACAATGAAGTCCCTGGTTCTCTCCCTGGCTGTTGCCAGGAGAAAAAAGCAGTGGTTCAATGTTGTTTCCTGACAACTGAGCTACTTATTAAACACAACTACAAAGACGCATAATTACCAAAATGTGTTTTAAGATTATAACTGTTCATTTTAAGCCCACCATTTCTTTCGCCTGTGAGCCAAGTGATTTGGAGTTCAGATGTATTAGCCTGTCTGAGGCATTTTAGACAAGGGAGAAGGTGACTACTGTATACAAGTACCAAACAAAGCAGCGTCAAAACTGCTTTCCATAGGTGGCAATCTTCTGTGATGCTTAAGCATTGTAAATGCTCATGTAGACGTAATTAAAATAGTTAAGGCCCACTCCTGGAATCCCAGCACTTTGGGAGGCTAAGGTGGGTGGATCAACTGAGGTCAGGAGTTCCAGACCAGCTTGGTCAGCACTTCGAAACCCCATCTCTACTAAAAATACAAAAATTAGCCGGGCATGGTGGTGCACACCTGTAGTCCCAGCTACTGGGGAGACTGAGGCAGGAGAATCGCTTGAAACCGGAAGGCAAGGTTGCAGTGAGCTGAGATCACACCACTGCACTCCAGACAGGGCAACAAAGTAAGACTCTATCTCAAAAAAAGAAAATAATAATAATAGTTGAAATTATAGTTTCAGAGTTTTTCTCCTTAACTATCCTACCTCACTGCTACATTTCAGAGATCCTAGTAACTGAGAACTACTAATTTGATAAAATTAAAGTAACACTGACTCTGGAATAATAAATGCTTCTACATAAACTACATCTCTCCATGCCTGGTCCTGTGAAATTTCTCCACTCACTCCAAACACATGTATAGAGAAAACACATTTGGCCAGACGCCTATAATCTCAGCACTTTGGGAGACCCAGGCAGGTGGATCACCTGAAGTCAGGAGTTCAAGTCCAGCCTGGCTAATATGGTGAAACCCCCATCTACTACACATACAAAAAAATAGCCAGGCATGGGTCACACGCCTGTAATCCCAGTTACTTGGGAAACTGAGGCAGGAGAACTGCTTAAACCCAGAAGACAGAGGTTGCAGTGAGTCAAGATCATGCCATTGCACTCCAGCTTGGGCAATAAGAGTGAAACTCCATCTCAAAAAAAAAAAAAACACATGCATAAATAAATACATATATTCACCAGATTTTTAAAACTGCTTTTAGGAAGCTGAGCAATACTTTATGTACTTTTAGAGGAATATGAAGCCAAATAGAAAATTCCAAGTATGGGCCAGGTGGAGGTGGCTCATACCTGTAATCCCAGCACTCTGGGAGGCCGAGGCGGGTGATAGATAACAAGGTCAGGAGTTCAAGACCAGCCTGGCCAAGATGGTGAAACCCCGTCTCTACTAAAAATACAAAAATCAGCCAGGTGTGGTGGCAGGTGCCTGTAATTCCAGCTACTAAGGAGGCTGAGGCAGAGAATTGCTTGAACCCAGGAGGCAGAGGTTGCAGTAAACCGAGATCAGGCCACTGCACTCCAGCCTGGGAGACAAAATAAGACTCTCAAAAAGAAAAAGAAAATTGCAAGCAAGTCAGACGGAAGACGCTTAACAGTAAAGAGACTTTCTATTAGGAAGTTTAAGTGAGGCACAGTGTACCTAACTTCTATCAGTTTTTGGAGTACACCTGGGCATACAGCTAATATTTTCGTTTGCCTGTGGATATTTTAAATGAATAGCATCTTAAGAGAATTTACTTCTGATTGTTCCAGGCACTCCCAAATGTCAAAATTTGACACAAGAAGATCTGGCAAATTTATCTAAAGGAAGAATTTTTTAAAAAATCCCCACACTCAGTTTAATGAGGCCACCTTATTGTAGTACCAATGCAACTAAAACTTAAATTGACCACGCTCTTTAAGAAGAATTTTCCTGGGTACTTCTGTGAACGTTTTTTGGAACTGGGAGAAAAAAAAAAAAAAAAAAAAAACAACCCCTAGTTATTAAATTTCGAAATGACTTAAGAACAAATGTGGTGTCTAGAAACCTACCCCAAAGGCGATACTTTTATGTCATCCAAACATTTCTTCTTTTATTAGCAAATAAAATGTTATTTGGAATGACAAGTAACTCCACCCTCCCCAACACTTCCACATTACAGTATCATGAATGGTATTAGCTACACTCCTGCACCAAAACAAGCTTTTGTTTGAGCTGTTCCCAAACCAAGGTATTAAAAGTGATCATTCTTCACCAAACAAAGACACTTTTGGACTGCAACCCAGGAGACTGAACACCTCAGTGTGTACTATTGTGGTGTTATCCTGGGAAAGTAATTCTTTCTGCAAGAAAACACAAACAGCCTTGTCCTTGACAAACAGCAATGTGTTCATAGCCTATAATCTAACGAGGCAACTATTAAAAAAAAAAAAGTGCAGATTCCTGAAATTAAACACCATGAGCTCTCTGCTCAAAGATTTTTCTTTTAAACGAGGTGTTTCAATTACACATAGTCGTCCGCATTTGACAACAATCAGGACGAGGCTAAATGCGGTTCCTTCTCCAGGTCAGAGCGAGAAACCAGAGGGAAATAAAATTGTGCCAAAGAGCACGTAGCACCTGTCAAGGCACTGTGACCCAAGAAAGATTAACACAAAGAAGCCACGACGGATTTGGTTATCCTTGGTCTCTCCCCGCCCGCAGGGAGTCCTACCAGCCCCAGGCCAGAGCCACCAAATCCCAGCCTCACACGTAAGGGGAAGGGAATCGCCCCTCTCGCCTTCCGACCTTCCCTAGTCGGCCGGCCTCATGGCAAAGCGGCCAAGGGCCTGCAGAGCCCGCAAACAGCAGAGGTCCGCGAAAGAGGCCAGGACAGGAGCCGGGAAGGCCGTGCGGCCCGCACCCCGGCGCCGCAGCTCAGCCCCGCGCTGGTCCTGCCGTAGGGGGGATGGGGCTGGAACCCGGCGCTCGTCTCCGGGCACTCTGCGCCGCCCCGGCCGAGGCAGGGCAAAACCCTACACGCTGTCGTTGGCGGGAAGCAGCGGAAGGGATCCGCCCCGCGAGCAAGACCCCCGGAGCTCAACCGCCGCCGCCGCCTCTCCGAGCGCGCCATTTCCAGGCCCTGGCCCTCCAGGCGCCGCTCCTAGGCCTCCGCGGGTCCCCGCGCGGGCCCCCGCCTCCGGACGCCCCGGGTGAGCGCAGGACGGCCGCCTCCCTGACGTCCCCGACCCCGCCGGCCCCCCTGCCCACGCCGGAGCCCGCGCACGCCCGCCTCACCCTCTGCCGCCGCCGAAGCTGCTGTAGGCCCGATCGTCGTAGGTATCGAAGTCCGCCATTTGCCGTCTCCGCTCCGAGAGGAACCAGGGTGAGCGAGGAAGGACCCCGCAATATAACTCCCCCCCGCCCCGCCGCCGGGGCTGTCCGCCGCGCCGCCTGATCGCAAATCGCTCGGACGCACGCGCGCGCGCGCGCGCACGCACGGACGCTCGCCGCGCCGCGCCGGGCCTTGGGCCCACGGGCAGCTGCTGGGCCTGCGCGCTCTAAGGCCCACGTGGTGCGGCGGCGCCCGGGCTGGACGCCTGCTCTGCCACCGCGGCCCATTGTGTGCTGGCCCTGGGGCTGCGCCCGCGGCCGCCTCCTGTCCCCGCCGCGCCCCGCCCTTGCGCGCGGGCCATCCCCTCCATTGGCGGGAGGTGGTCGGCAGAGCCGGGCAGGAACTCCCTCTCCGGTTCGTTTGGGACCTTGCCTTTTGGCCTCCAGACCTGGCAGGGACCGCGGAGGCCTGTCCCCCTTGGCCTCTAGAGTGATCTCCTGTTGACACCCAAGTAAAGGCCACCTCCTCCAGACAGGAACCGGCCACACGAAGAGGATGCCCTGGAAGGGGGTGCAAGGCGATGGGACGCAGATGCGAATTCTGCCTTCCAGGGCTTACTCGCTGCCTGGGTATTGGGGTGTTTTGAGAGGAGATAGGTGGCCTGTGACTTAGCAAGAGAGGATTCACATCTCGGTGTTTTGCAGAAGTCGTTGCCTTGGAAAAAGAGTTGGTTACGGATACGGATTCCATCATCTAGCAATAACAAAACATAGTTATGTAGTGGGAATTAATTACACAGGTAAATTTCTAGGCTTGTGATTGAGATGGTGGTAATTGTGGGTGCCACAATGTTAATAAACCCTAATTATATAGGCACACTTTAAAAATCTCATAGGCCGGGCACGGTGGCTCATGCCTGTAATCCCAGCACTTTGGGAGGCCGATGTGGGTGGATCACAAGGTCAGGAGTTCGAGACCAGCGTGGCCAATATGGTGAAACCCCCATATACTACACATACAAAAAAATAGCCAGGCATGGGTCACACGCCTGTAATCCCAGTTACTTGGGAAACTGAGGCAGGAGAACTGCTTAAACCCAGAAGACAGAGGTTGCAGTGAGTCAAGATCATGCCATTGCACTCCAGCTTGGGCAATAAGAGTGAAACTCCATCTCAAAAAAAAAAAAAACACATGCATAAATAAATACATATATTCACCAGATTTTTAAAACTGCTTTTAGGAAGCTGAGCAATACTTTATGTACTTTTAGAGGAATATGAAGCCAAATAGAAAATTCCAAGTATGGGCCAGGTGGAGGTGGCTCATACCTGTAATCCCAGCACTCTGGGAGGCCGAGGCGGGTGATAGATAACAAGGTCAGGAGTTCAAGACCAGCCTGGCCAAGATGGTGAAACCCCGTCTCTACTAAAAATACAAAAATCAGCCAGGTGTGGTGGCAGGTGCCTGTAATTCCAGCTACTAAGGAGGCTGAGGCAGAGAATTGCTTGAACCCAGGAGGCAGAGGTTGCAGTAAACCGAGATCAGGCCACTGCACTCCAGCCTGGGAGACAAAATAAGACTCTCAAAAAGAAAAAGAAAATTGCAAGCAAGTCAGACGGAAGACGCTTAACAGTAAAGAGACTTTCTATTAGGAAGTTTAAGTGAGGCACAGTGTACCTAACTTCTATCAGTTTTTGGAGTACACCTGGGCATACAGCTAATATTTTCGTTTGCCTGTGGATATTTTAAATGAATAGCATCTTAAGAGAATTTACTTCTGATTGTTCCAGGCACTCCCAAATGTCAAAATTTGACACAAGAAGATCTGGCAAATTTATCTAAAGGAAGAATTTTTTAAAAAATCCCCACACTCAGTTTAATGAGGCCACCTTATTGTAGTACCAATGCAACTAAAACTTAAATTGACCACGCTCTTTAAGAAGAATTTTCCTGGGTACTTCTGTGAACGTTTTTTGGAACTGGGAGNAATTAAAAAAAAAAAAAAAAATGAGCCGGACTGGGTGGCGGGCACCTGTAGTCCCAGCTACTCAGGAGACAGGATACTCCTGTCTCCTACTGAGGTAGGAGAATTGCTTGAACCTGGGAAGCAGAGGTTGCAGTGAGCCGAGATTGTGCCACTGCACTGCAGCCTGGGCGACAGAGCAAGACTCCATCTCAAAAAAAGAAAAAAGAACCTCATGGAATTTTTTGCTTGTTATTATTTATTTGTTTGTAGTTGAGACAGGGTCTCACTCTGTCGCCCAGGCTGGAGTGTGGTGGACTACCGGCAGGCAGTACCACGCCTGACTAATTAGCTTTTTTTTTTTTTTTTTTTTGAGACAGAGTCTCACTCTTGCCCAGGTTGGAGTGCAGTGGCATGTTCTTGGCTCACGGCAACCTCCACCTCCGGGGTTCAAGTGATTCTCCTGCGTCAGCCTCCTGAGTAGCTGAGACTACAGGCGTGTGCCACCACGCCCAGCTGATTTTTGTATTTTTAGTAGAGATGGGGTTTCATCGTGTTAGCCAGGATGGTCTCAATTTTCTGACCTTGTGATCCGCCCGCCTTGTGCTCCCAAAGTGCTGGGATTATAGGCCCACTACCCGACCTGGCTAATTTTTGTATTTTTTGTAAAGATGGGATTTCACCATGTTGGCCAGCCTGGTCCTCAACTCCTGGCCTCAGGCAATCCACCCGCCTCGGCCTCCCAAAGTGCTGGGATTACAGGCGTGACCCACCTCACCTGGCCACAAATAATAGGTTTTTCTGAGTTAGGGTCTTGCTCTGTTGCCCAGGCTGGAGTGCAGTGGCGCTATCATAGCTCATGGCAGCCTACAACTCCTGGGCTCAAGTGATCCTCCTGCCTCAGTCTCCTAGGTAGCTCAGACCATAAGCATATGCTACCACACCCAGTTAATTTTTGTACTTGTTGTAGAGATAGGGTCTTGCTATACAGTATTGCTCAGGCTGGTCTCAAACTCCTGGCCCCAAGCAATCCTCCTGCCTCAGCTTCCCAAAACACTGGGATTACAAGCCTGAACCATGGAATCCAACACAAGTAGGTTTTTTTTGAGACGGAGTCTCGCTCTGTTGCCAGGCTGGAGTGCACTGGCGCGATCTCAGCTCACTGCAACCTCTGCCTCCCGGGTTCAAGCGATTCTCCTGCCTCAGCCTCCCAAGTAGCTGGGATTACAGGTGCGCCACCATGCCCAATTAATGTTTTGTAATTTTAGTAGAGACAGAGTTTCACCATGTAGGCTGGGACGGTCTCGATCTCTTGATCCGAAGGCCTCAGCCTCCCAAAGTACTGGGATTACAGGCCTGAGCCACCACACCCGGCCTACAAGTAGGTTTTTGATGGAAAAGAAGAGGCAGTTTACTAAACTGTTTACAAGAAATTTACATGACAATAAAGTGAGCTATTGATTGGCTATGCGTTTTTTTTGTTTTTGTTTTGTTTTGTTTTGCTATGCATTGTTGTCTGTATCACTGATTCCAAGAATTTAAAGATAATGAATGAGGCAGCAATTTGGGAACAAAATGACTTTAAACATTTGCCCCAGGCCCCGCACAGTGGTGGTTCATGCCTGTAATCCCAGCACTTTGGGAGGCTGAGGTGGATGGATCACTTGAGCCCAGGAATTTGAGACCAGCCTGAGCAACATGGTGAAATCCGGTCTCAAAAAAATAAAAATAGGCTGGACGTGGTGGTTTATGCCTGTAATCCCAGCACTTTGGAAGGCCAAGGCGAGCAGATCACCTAGGTCAGGAGTTCAAGACCAGCCTGATCAACATGGAGAAACCCTGTCTCTACTGAAAATGCAAAATTAGCCGAGCGTAGTGGCGGCCGGCACCTGTAATCCCAGCTACTCGGGAGACTGAGGCAGGAGAATCGCTCGAACCCAGGAGATGGAGGTTTCGATGAGCCAAGATCACGCCATTGCACTCCAGCCTGGGCAACAAGAGTGAAACTCCCATCTCCAAAAAACAAAAAGCAAACAAAAAATAAAAATAATCTTGGAGTATGTTTGAATTCGAGTTGCAAAAAAAAAAAAAAAAATTAAAAATCACCCCCTGGGCATGGGTTAGGGAGGAAGGGTTGGGGAGAGGGTCGGTATGGGTATGGGGGTCATGCCTGAAGTCCCATTCATGTGTCTCTCACGGGGGGCACCCAGGGGACAGAGGTTGCAGTAAGCCAAGATGGCGCCACTGCACTCCAGCCTGGAGGACAGAGCAAGATTCTGTCTCGGAAGAAAACGACCCAGCACGGTGGCTCACGCCTGTAATCCCAGCACTTTGGAAGGCTGAGGCAGGCGGATCATGAGGTCAGGAGATGGAAACCATTCTGGCCAACATAGTGAAACCCCGTCTCTACTAAAAATACAAAAATTAGCTGGGTGTGGTGGCAGGTGCCTGTAATCCCAGCTACTCGGGAGGCTGGGGCAGGAGAACAGCTTGAACCAGGGAGTCGGAGGTTGTAGTGAGCAGATCGCGCCACTGCACTCCAGCCTGGGGACAGAGCAAGACTCTGTCTCAAAAAAAAAGAAAACGAAACAACTTGTGCTTACATCACAGGCCCTAGATTGCTCCAGGCTATTCTCCTTTTCTCAGGAGTTTTGAATTCTTGGGCTGAAAGAGACAAGCTTTCTTCTCACTTCCCAGTGTAGACAGGTACATGTTCTCAAGGTGATCCTATAGCTGTGTAGTTGTCTGATGCTCACAGCAAGTCAATAAGCCTAGATGCCAGGTAGCAGGAGGTGTCTGAGGCCAGGTGCCGTGGCTCACGCCTGTAATCCCAGCACTTTGGAAGGCCAAGGCAGGTGGATCACATGAGGTCAGGAGTTCAAGACCAGCCTGGCCAACGCGATGAAACCCTCTCTACACTAAAAATACAAAATTAGCTAAGTGTCGTGGTGCGGGCCTATAGTCCTACCTACTCAAGAGGCTGAGGCACGAGAATCACTTGAACCCAGAAGATGGAGGCTGCAATGAGCTGAGATCGCACCACTGTACTCCAGCCTGGGTGACAGAGAAAGACCCAGTCTCCAAAAAAAAAGAGAGAAAGAGGTATTTCATTGTAGGATCACTAAATAAGAAGATGGGAATAAACCTTAAATCCACCTCCCCAGGAGTTTGGGACTGGGGCTATTAAGGGTCTTGGAGTGGGCTAAAGTGTTGGAGGTCGTTGATTGGTTGAAGAGTACAGG